CTGCGCGCTCGGCCTCCCGCGGGCGGCTGGGAGTGAGTTAAGATGGCGGGACTGGGAGTAGCGGGAAGGCTCAACCAGAATGGAGTGCTAGCCGCACGTCCCTTTCTTTTGCTTTCCTCTTTTTTGAAAATACGCTGCTTTTGGAAAACTGGGAAACTCTGCAGATAGCGGGGAGGAATCGCCATCCCTCTCCGTCCTCGCTCTGACCCCTACCCTCCCGGAGATGGAAAGGCGACCCGAAATCTAACCCGGGCGCGGACGGATCCCCCGCGGCCTCCCAAATCCAAACTCCGACCGCGTGGGCACGGCAGCAGCCTCGCAGACGCACGGACAGCGTCGCTTCACCAGACACCCCAGGCTTCCTGGGAGCGGAGAGAAAGACGTGACCATGCTTGAAAGGGACCAGCAAGCACACTGCCTCCGCGAGGAGCGCGGAGCTGCAAATTTACCTCGTGCCGACTCAGTCCGCACAGCAGATGGTGGCAGAGCTGAGAGGGAAACGACCTCCCTCATTTTTCAAGTGCTTCCTAATAGCAGCTCAAGTGCGTCCTTCAAGCACAAGTCTCTACGTGCCTGTGAAATCGAGGCTCGGCTCCTCAGAGCTTCCCTTGCGCTCAGGGCACCGACTCCTTTGCTCGCGGTGCCTGTGGTCCGGGGGCGGCGGGCCAGGCCGCGCTGGGATCCCACGCGCCCCACGCGCTCGGGCCTGGGCCCAGGCGCCCTCCCCACCGCACGTGCGCCCCCTGGGCCCGAGGTCGCAGGAGCGCAGCCCCAGAGGGGGGATCACAAGAATACACTGCCCGGCGTCACCCACTAGCCACGCTTTATACTTTCCGTCCTCCTGTTTGGTTCTTAGGTGTGGGAAGGGAGGAAAGCACAAAGGAAAATCAGTCGTCGCGTTTCTAGATAGCAGACAGCACTCCGCGGGACGCCGTCTAGTGGCGAAACTGTCCAGGGAAGGCAAATCGGTTTCGCTCCCCGCTCTAATTTTCATTTCCACTGCAACTTTGAAGCCTTCTTTGCATGACAAATAGTGAAATTGAGACAGGACGATCTCTAGGTGAAGGTAAATGTAGTCCTGTAACCTGGAACTGGCCCCGACTAAGCAAGAATGTTGAGCCGTTTTCCACCTCTTTCCTGGATCTCCTTCCTCTGGAGGCAAATACAAAAACCGCTTCTCCACGAGGTAAAGGCAGAGCTGTGCGGACCCCTAGACCAAGACGCAGCGACCCTCTCCCCCAGCTGGAATATCCACATTTCTGCGTTTGTTCTCCAGGGATGGGGATCTGGCTTAGGCATGGACTCCACTGGAGAAAGGATGGAGCAGTGCTCCCACATACGTCCCAAATCAAGTTTTAAGTTCCGTGGTTAAAAAAACTTGACCTTTCACGAGTTGGTCACCCCTCTCCAATCCCGCCAAACACCTCCCAACCCCCAAACCATCCATTAAAGACATGTAGGCCATTCGTTCTGTGTTTGCATTTACAGATTCAACACTGATGTCTAAGGCCTCGTATTTAAAGACAATTTTCGACTTCTGCCTAATGCTGCGGTCAACAGCCTAATTTGACATGCATTTAAATTACACCCTACTCTTACTCAAACAAAGCCTCACGCCTTACTTTGTAAAATTTAAAGAAATTTTTAACTCCTTATTAAAGACCCTCCGTTTCCCTGCTTGAATTATTTCCAACTTCAGGGATCAGACATATGATGAAGTGAATACATTTCCCTGAGGGGGGAGGGGGAGGATGAGTGCAACCAAGTGAAATGACTCAGGGAGCCAAGTAACTGTAAATAAGAAGGAAAAGGGACTCACTGGCAATGCTATGAAACAAACTTAAGAGGGGAATGGGAGGTGGTGCCCATCAAACAGACTGCCCCATACTGGAGTGAGGACGGGTCATTCTTCCTTAACCCTTAAAAGTTACTGCCTATAATAATTAAATTATTCTCAAACTGTAAACTGCTTTCAAACACCATAGTGTTTTACCAGATTTATTTTACTTGTTGTACACAGACGATACAAACGAGCAAAAAACAAAACATTTCTCAATGGAGTGTGTACTTGTATAAATTATTCAGTTCACAGACAAAACGAAACAAATATAAAAATCACAACATTGGATTTACAGGAGAGCCAAAGTATACACACGTTTAGACCCTGAATTCCTATTAGGAAAAATCCCCCCATGGACTGGAATCTAGATTGAATATTGTGTATGATGCATATTTCACATTAATTTTAAAATACAAAAAAAAAGTATAGGCTTGCTACACAACATTAGAAATCCTACTAATCTATTTCCAGGGAGATAAATGTTTCTTATCAAATATAACAAGACTTAGAGGGGAGAGAATCAGTCTTACTTGCATTAATGCTAGTGTTTTCCCAAGAAAGTCAAATTGCAGCTGTTTCTAGGTAGTGGGGGAATCATTTTCAAAACTAAAATGCAGTAAAATATACAACTCACAATTCATCTTCACTAGACTACACTATAGTTACCAACAATTCAGTCATCTATATGATTAGGGGAATCGTCATTACAAAGATTTACAGCATATAAAGGTGGGGGGGGGGGCTGAAAAGATATTCAGAAACAGTTTGTCAGCATATTTGGCACCTGCACAGACCAGTCATGAATTTGGCACTTTGGGGAAAAACAAATAAGGCAAAATAATATTGCTATGTTGAGCTATTCTATCTAGAAGGAAGGAGGGGGAAACATACAATTCCAGTTAACTTTTCTTTGCAGGCTTCATGCCGCTTAATGGACTTGCCTAGGAACAGACACCTGTCCTTCTCAGGTGTCTGGTCAGGTTCTCCGTAGCTACTTGTGTGCATGAGGGCACAGAGCAATTACTTCATGCAATGGGTTGAGGAGAAGTGAGAAACTCATCATTATATCTATCAAGTATTTCAGGTTTCCAGAGCCTCTTAGAATATTGTTAATTATCTCTCGAGAAAAAAAAATTAAAGGGGGAGAGGTGGGTGGCGAAAAAGGCAAAGAAATGAATGAAAAGGTTAAGCAGGAACTGGTTTTGTGCCTTGACGATGAGAATAAAAACTAGCCATTCATTACAGTAAATTAACACTATATACAATCATTTCACAGGCTTTGTTCCACTAAAAGTATTAACATCCCTACCATCCATCCATCCATCCATTCGGGGATAAGAAAGGACGCGCTGGGTGGATCCAAGTTCTAGAGTCAACATCCTAGGGTTCATGGGGAGGCCGAGACCGACGGGTCGGAATCGCTGCTGCCTGGCAGGCTGCCCCAGGTCTCCCAAAGGTGAAGAGTTGCATGACAAGAACTAGAAGGAGGGGGCGAGGAAAAGACAAGGGGGGGGGGGTGTTGGGAGAGAAGTGTGTGTGGAGTATAACTTCACAGAAGGAGAGGAAGTAGGAAAACCAAACGGTTTACAGCAAAGTGGAAGGTCGGTGCGCTAACTGCGGAGACTGCTGTGCCAACACAGGTTACAGTCACCTTCGCTGCGGG